GCGGTGAAAATCGTGAAACTCGCGTTCAGGGTCGTTTTTTTCTTTTTTTATACTCGCCAAAAGGTTAAAAAAATTTGTCAAAATTTAGGGTGCCATCACCTTTAATCAACCCTATGAAATGCCTCAATTGAGTTCAATTTGCTACCAATTAATACCCTTGATACACTCATAACGTATACCAAATTTGGTTTTTCTAGCTTAATGTATTACGAAGATATTGAACTTTTTAAAAATTTAAGAGCCAACTTTGAAGGCCTATAACTCCTGAGGTGTACAACTTAGTATAGAGGTAAGTTACGTTAAATCATCTTAATTTATTGTCCTCTACATGTCCCTGCTCTGTGTCGGTTCTTATGTGAATCACCCTGTATATCAGGGTGCATTCACTATGCACCTTAGTACGTTGTTCTGGAATCTTTGCATCAGACTTGCATTTGTCTTGCAGGTACAACCCCACAGTTGGATTCCGTATGTCCATTTTGGTTTTAATACTTGCTTGTACATTAACAACTTGTTTCTTAGTGATAGCGTTGATTTTCTGCCAATAAGCCAATATAGGTGTCTAAATTTGATATCAAGTTCCTCACGTTTTTTTTTGACGTGAGCTTTCCATTTGAGTTTGGCATCCAGCGTCGTACTAAGATATTTTGTGGTGTCGGCGTAAGGGACTGCATTGCCATTTATGTGTACTGGGACATAGTTTACTTTCTTGTAAGTAAAGTTTATATATGTCGATTTATTTGTATTTAGTTTTATTAGCCATCGTTTGGTCCAGCTTTCTATTGAATTTAATGCCACGATTCAGTCAAACATGAATCTTAAAAACGTCGATTTATAAACATTTAGTTTATTATCGATTTATAAAAATAAATCAATATTCAGAAAAGTATAATTAACATTTTTACAAAAAACGTTGCGAACTCATGGAACCTCAAAGCCAAACTACAAATAGAAGTGGAACATTACACCTAACTCAAGAATGACGATGCACTATAATGAGACACTCTTAAAGCCCCAAATAGAGAATGAATACGGATGTCCATAACAGAAATGATAAGAAGGACAACAACTGATAGTTCCACTTTTTCCATTTTAACCAACAAAGGGTTTATTATTATCTCAGTCATCATTATTAGCACTATGGCAATCCTCACATTGAACGTCGGCAGATTCAGGGAAGACGTTGGTCTATGAATGTTTGGATTAAAGTTTTTGGAAGACAGAATTTGTCACATATTTTTTATTCTTGGTGAATGGGGAAGCTTACAGAAGAGGACTTTCCTTTATAACAGCGATAGCAACATCAATGTTTTTTCAACACACGGAAATTGAATCATCGCATTCATAATAAAGGGGTTGGACGGAGCGAATTAACATCATGTCATCCTCAGGAAACCACGTTATACAATTTTTGTTTTTCTCTTTTTCATATTACTTTACTTTCTCTTCTTTCAACTTTTATTCTAAGTGTTTACTGTTCAAATCAGCCTGTATTAATGTTATTAAATATACAAGACGACGATGTTCTTTAGTTATTTATTCATATTGATTAATTTAAAGTTCATCGTAATATGTATTCTATAAAATATTTTATTTTTAATTATAGAACTCATCCGATGGTTCAAATTATCGAAAAATACTATTAATGTACGCCATATGCAAATTGTATGCTGTAGGTCCGATGTTAGTTTGTTTTTTAAATGTGTTCTATAGAAGCAATAAAGCATTTTATAATAATTGGTGTTTAGGTATATTTTATATACCTAAAGAGATCTATAAGTAGTTGATCAATTGAACTAAAACTAGAACTAACATAGGATCTAGAACTAGAAACGTTCGGGTAAGCCATGCGTCTTTTGAAGAATGTGACGTTTCGGATGTTATTACAACCTTCTTCAGAAACAAGTTCTAAGTGAGAAAACAACTGGAAAAAAAAAAGAAGGCATAACCCGAAAGTTTCTAGTTCTAGGAATAGTGCTAATGTAACTAAAACTACAACTAGTTTTAGTTCAATTAACACCAGCTGTGAAAGCCAGCTCATACTTATAGGTAATTAATTTTATTAATTAAAAAAATTTGAATATCAACGAGCTTCATTCAATCAGTAGGAAAAATAGACTGATATATGCAAGAAAATAGAAAAGGAGCAGTAAATTCCTGGGCACTAATAAGGAAAGAAAACAATAAGAGATTATTCTCAGATATTTTTAATAACATATAATTCTTTATATGAACACAATAAAAGTATTAAAGACTGAAATCGGTAGAAAATGTATGAAAAAAAATCTTTTTAAGACATGTAACTGAAAGGGGATATGCTGTTCTTGGTCTTTTGTGTATTTTCGTCTTCAATTGTTATTGGATGTTTCATCCCCTACCGTGTTTTCCACAAATAAAAAATTACTATAGACACCTCAATACTCTCAACGTTTTCACCAAAATGAAAATTGAAAACACCTCTAAAACTTAATCAATCGTTTTATTTTATATTCAGTAATTACCTATAAATGATAAATAAGCGTTCCTATTTGTTTTTATAGCTATAATTTCAAATAATTTTATATGTGAATTAATACTATTCGATTTAAATTAATTTTATTTATTTTGAAAATTTTAATCTATTTTCTAAATCATTACCTAAATCATCCACATTCTTTATTGTAAAATAAAACGTTTTAATATTAATTGGAAACGATAATTTTTCATGTTGCACAGCGTATACTTAAAATTTTTGATCTAAAAACAAACGGACATAGTCTTAAATTATGTATTTTT